ATGCATGCATAAAGACAGACAGACAGAAAGACAGATATATAGAAAGATAAATAGATGAATGGATAGATGAATAGGTAGATAGGTAGACAGACTGACACAAAGATCGGCAGACAGGTCGATGCATAGGCATATATATAGTAGACAGCGGTAGAGAAAGAGGGAGAGCAACGCTCACTCGACCTGTACCTTCTGCAGAGCGGGCGAAGCGGACGTACCGGACAGTGCAGGGCGCGCGCGGCCGGGAGACCAAGGACCAGCTGTTGGAGGACGAGGGCGACGTCGCGGACAAGAAGTAAGTCGAGAGGGGAGGGGGGGGCAGTGCGGGCTCTCCTGTTGTCTCTGCTGAGTCAGGGATTGCAGTGGAGGTGGCGGTAAGGGCGAAAATGGTAATAAAGATGATAATGGTGATAATCATGATACAATTGATAGTATTGATAGTACTAATACTACTACTAATGATAATGATAATAATGCTGATAATAATAATTATGATAATAATAGTAATGATGACCATAATGATGATAATAATGATAATGATGATAATTATGGTAATGCTAATATTAAATTATTAATGATAATGATAAAGGAATGATAGCAATAGCAGCATTAATGATGAAAACAACAATAATGAAGATGAATATGAAGATGATGATGATAGTAATGATGATGATCATCATCATTATTATCATCATCATCATCATCATCATCGTCATCGTCACCATCATCATCAATAGTATCATTGTCATCACCAGTTATAAAGATAATCATAGTAATAGTAATGGTAGTTAGAATGAAAATATAAATTTAACAGAATTTTTTAAGAATAGAATAAAAGCAGAGAAACTGAAATCTTGAAAGCAGCAATAGCTTGCCAGTGACAAGAGCAGCATTGGAGGCTCTGGCCTGGGCGGGAATAACAGATCCGGCGCCCCTTTGCAGGCGTGCGCTTTCGGCATTGGCGAGTAAGCAGCCCCTGACGGAGGGCGAGGGAGCCGCCCTTCGCTCAGCCTTCAGGAGGATCGTGTCTCGGATGGACAAGAATCTCCGGGTGAGTGTCCCACTCAGCAGCTGGACGGTTGGACCTTACAGGGGTTTCACACATTATTGTTTTTACGCGATCGATCCTTATCTTGAAAGTTATTTCGTTGGCGATTGTCCTTGCAGAAAACGGGGGTGAAGGAGTGGATAACAGATCCAGTGACGCAGATCACACAAGAGGAGCTGGGCCTGGTCGAGTTCAACCGCATTTTCGTAAGCAACCAGAGCGAAATCTTGGAGGAGCTGGCCAAGGACTTGCTCACCGACCCGGACCCCACTCTGCACATTCCGTTGCCTTACACCAAGTACTTCAGGTAAGGCAAGCCTTGAGGCAATCCGCTTTTGGCAAAGTGAACTTTGTATGTTTGTTGTTTGTATGTTTGTGTGTGTGTGTGTGTTTGTGTGTTCGTGTGTTTTTGTGTTCGTGCGTTTGTGTGTTCGTGTGTTTGTAAATATGTGTAAGCACACACACACACACTCTCTCTCTTCAGGCGCTAAAATCAGATTTGAGGAGCGAGTGAAAGGTAAGTTTACACAGTTTCAAAATGAAAAGAAATTGAAGGTAACCTTTCGTACTCGTCAAGATGTTCTCTTCAGACGAAGCAAATGGCCAAACATTTCGGCCATTCACATCGTTTGAAGAGGACACTGACGAGTTCGAAACGTTGCGTTCCGTTTCTATTCTGTTGTGGCTGCGTTTCCTTACACCATAATCTTTTATTTGATAATAATGCGAGGAACACAGTCCGTTCTCCAAGCCCTGAAATTCAATCACCAATGCTTTTATTTTGTATTGTTTAATGACGCCATTCTGATTCTGATTCTCCCCATCTTCATCTTCCTCTTCCCCCCCTCTCTCCCTCTTTCTCACCCCTCTTCTCTCTCCCTCCCTCCCTTCCTCACCCCTCTCTCTCCCCCCCTCCCCCCCCCTCTCTCTCTCTCTCTCTCTTCTCTCTCTCTCTCTCTCTTCTCTCTCTCTCTCTCTCTCTCTCTCTCTCTCTCTCTCTCTCTCTCTCTCTCTCTCTCTCATCTCTCCCTCTCTCCTCTCTCTCTTCTCTCTCTCTCTCTCCCTCTCTCTCTCTCTCTCTCTCTCTCTCTCCTCTCTCTCTCTCTCTCTCTCTCTCTCCCTCTCTCTTCTTCTCTCTCTCTCTCTTCTCTCTCTCTCTCCTTCTCTCTCTCTCCCTCCCTCCCTCTCTCTCTCTCTCTCTCTCTCCCTCTCTCCCTCTCTCTTCCCCTCTCTCCTCCCTCTCTCTCCCCTCTCCCTCTCCTCTCTCCTCCTCTCTCCTTCCTCTCTCCTCTCTCCTTCTCTCTCCTCCTCCTCTCCTCTCTCTCTCCTCTCTCTCTCTCTCTTCTCTCTCTCTCTCTCTCTCTCTCTCTCTCTCTCTTCTCTCTCTCCTCTCTTCCCCTCTTCTCCCTCTCTCTCTCTCTCTCTCTCTCTCTCTCTCTCTCTCCTCTCTCCTCTCTTCTCTCTCTCTCTCTCTCCTCTCTCTCTCTCTCATCTCTCTCCTCTCTCTCTCTCTCTCCCTCTCTCTCTCTCTCTCTCTCCTCCCTCTCTTCCTCCTTCCTCTCCTTCTCTCTCTCTCTCTCCTCTCTCTCCCTCTCTTCTCTCTCTCTCTCTCTCTCTTCTCTCTTCCTCTCTCTCTCTCTCTCTCTCTCTCTCTCTCTCTCTCTCTCTCTCTCGTCTCTCTCTCATCTCCTCTCTCTCTCTCT